TATATATATATATACATATATACAACTCGCACATCAAATAACGCATATCATTAAACGGATAGCAATTAAAAGTATGCACATCTGCATGTTTATGGGGATTCTTGTATCACTTAAGAGGCCCAACACCTGTGCCCAGACCGCATCTCTCTGCACCTTCCTGGCCCCGAAGAATAAAGCCCAGTCACACTCTTTCCTAAATGTGATGTCTCTCGTCTCAGTCTGCGAGTCCTTATTAGAATAGAGAAGGGGAGAGGCGATTGAAGAGGAGTTGTTTCCACTGGATTAAATGGTTTCTCTGCAAGTCAATGAATATGTAATGATGTCTAACGAAACCGGCCAGTGAGTTCTGTGCTCTGGTACACAGGCCCTATATTAAAGACCTCTTCTGCTGAGTAAAAACACAGTATAGAGCCGGGGCAGAGAAAAGAGGGGCAGAATAGGGGAAGGGGAGAAGGGATACAATCTTGAATGCAACGCGAAGCTTAAGCCAGACATTCTCCCTCAGTCAATGGATGAAAAAGTATTTGCTCACGCACTGAGAGAGTCTTTCTTGAAGCAAGAGGGAGGGGGGGGGGGGGGGGGGATTTACATTTTTTAAACTGCTTTGGAAATATTGTTTCTGATAAGCAGTCATGCCAATAAAGTAATTGAATTGATTTGATAGAGAAGGGGCGAGAAGGAGAGAAAGAGAGTTCCTCCACCATGATTGTTTAATAAGATATTTCTCCCTTAGTATACCCGATAAAACATTGATTGTTGCAGTTAGTTGACCCGTAAAATGTGGGGGTTAGTTTTCTCTTCTGAGCTGAGCATATAATTATGCAAATAGTGATTTGACAGTGATCCGCTGGAGGAGTGCTGAAGGAGGGGGGGGGGGGGCTGTCAGAGGGGGGACATACCAACTTCGCCTGGTTCCTTTGGAAAGAGTTCATCTTCTGCATATCAGAGTGGGCCAGCGCGAGCAAGCGTGACAACAACTCTCTTAAAGTAAAAATTGAAATATCAGGCTGTGGCAGCACAGGGGTTCCCCAACTTTTTCATGTCAAGGGCCCCACTCAACCCACCCACCCACTCCTCCCCAAAATGTGCCATTACAGCACAGACCCCCCATTTGGCAGGGTTTCATCCTAAAGCTCCGCAGCTGATGCTATTTTCTGTTGTAGATATGAACATGTGTGGAGCTGTCTGTAACTGTCTGTACGACAATAGCTGTGAGAGTGAAACCTATAATCAAATCAGTCATACCTATTATAGATTCACACGCTGCGCTAACTTCTAGCGAGTAAAAAGACAGACGCATCAGACTGTTCTCGTCTGGTTAGGGGATCCCTCCTCGGGAAACCACCAAGAGGAGCCTCAACCAGCACCCCGGAGGCACGATGAGACCATCGCTGTCTTTACAAGTGTGGAGACAGCTAAACGTGACAAAATGATTATACACAAGTGAATACACAGGGCGCTCAGAGAATCACGTGAAGATAACTGGGATATCTAAGTGCTTAGAAACAGGATTACAGATGAGCAAATTTAGAAACTCACTTACTTTAAACAACGTCGTATGTTGCAATATAATCCGTAAAATAGAAACAGCCTAGAAGCTATTGAACAAGTCTTAACGCATCAAATAATCCCTTGCCTAATATCTGATTCATTTTGCTGTGTATTAGTCGCCTGCCTTTGATGATTAGCTGTCGTCTGGAGGTCATAACATCATTGTTTTGGAAAAGAAAGGACTAATTTTCACTAATACAAGAGAGTTTTCTTTGTCAATATCACGGTATTGTTAAATTAGATAGCATTCTCTTTAGGACGTACACATTTGTAAATCAGAAAGTTGTGTAATGTGTGCCTGTGCGCGCGTGTGTGTGTGTACGTGTATGTGTGTGTGAGATTAAATGCCTCTCTTTAATCAGTGGCCTGACACGGTGTGAGGGGGACTCGCCTGGTTCCACTTGTTGTTCAGGGGTTAATGGAAAAGATTTCTAAAGATTTATTGAGGGGGCGTTTAATGACCTGATCGGTTTCACCGTGTGAAAACAAATGATGCCGTAAAACCTCGCTGAGTTGGAGGGGGGCTCACTTTGCCAAAAGTAATGACCAAAAAGAGTGGAATTACTGTTTATAGTTTGTTTTCCTTTTGACACACTTAGTGACTTAGTTACTCACTCAATAACGATACAATCAGTTTAAAGATAGTGCTCTCTTTTAGAGTAGCCTGGCCTATAGGACAACTTTTAAAATGTCAAACTTTTATCTACCGCTTAACTTAAAAAATAAAAGCACTGAAATAATGCTAAATTGGTGGTTTTGAACTGTTTAGAAACACGACAAAGGACACTTTAACACTGGCTGATTGTGTGGCAGCAAATTAATGCGAGTTGGTCGTCGGTTAGATTTCATAGAAGTCATGTGAGATGATGACTCCGGTCATTTTTCACTCGGAGCTCGACTTACTCGTCCCGCTGCACTCGCTTTACACTTTCGGTCACATCTCTGTCTCTCTTCGGTTTATTCGCACCTGAGTACTACTGATATATTTTTCCACACATTCCTAATGTGCGCTGTTCTGCACCAGTAACATAGCCCACTCCTGCAAGGAAAACACGAGGGAATAAAAAGCAAAACGAAAGAAAAAAATCAACAACACAATAGGAACATATGTACAGTTTAAAAAGCAAGATGCAAAAGTTCATTTTATTTGGTTTCGACAGGTTTAATAGATTAATTGCAAACAATAAAATCAACTTTAAAATCATTTTAAGACAGCCGTTTAAAACCAAGACGGGTCAAAACTAAAGAGAATGAAATAAACATATAACAAAAATGTGTGACCCGGCAGGACACTCGCGGTTTCATAAAATCCAAAGACCTATGCGATAACAACAAAACAGCCCTGTTCCTTAAACCAATATAACATATACACCATCTGCAAAATATAGACTTGGAAAGTAATTGACAAAATTAGTCTCCTTTTATTTGCAGGCTGTGCTTTGGATTTGGGCTGCTCTTACATCTTTAGTTCCATTCACATATGGCTTGCTGGATATTATTAAAAACAGTGAACATAGTCTTGTTTATTCCTAAGGCAACAATATACAAATTATGGAGAGAAAAATGAACTGATTGCAGCTGAAAAGCAGAAAGATGAGCAATGGTATCTTGAAACGAAACTCATCAAATCAAATAATAAGCAAACTTCTTTGCTAAAACCTGGAGAGATCTGAATCAAATTAAAAGGAAATTAGGCCTGCAACCATCAGCCACAGTTGTCTCATTACAGCGGAAAGATAATCCACAAAAGCCTTAAACCATACACACAGGACAGGAGAGGCAGGATTTCACAGTGTAAAAGTTAAACAATGGGAACTATTTGAAGTAAAAAAAAAAGAAAAGAAAAAGGTATATATTTGAGAATGTGTCTAAGGTATCATAAGATTTAGTATCCGGTTTGAGTTTTTACTAATGTCATGACACATTAGAAATGTATTCCATTAAGCCTTGAGTGGTTTATAAAGCACACCAGCCTTGTGGAAAATTTATATCATGTTTGTGTCACAAAGGCAGATTATGTGCAGCTGAGCAGGGAGCTGACTTTGTCACTTATAAGTACACAAGAAGTGCTTTGGTGGGAGGAAAAAATAGATATGTTACATTTTTCCAACATCTAAAGAAATATCATTCAGGCTTAGAATAATATTGAAATCTTGGATTTCCTGACACGTGTAAGTCGATATATTGAGGCTTTATGAGTGTTGTGAGCTGACTTCTGGCTCCTGTTAAAATGAGAAATCCCTCAAACCCATTTTGATTCTTGACTTTAAGTAATTTTAAATATGCTCAGTGTCCTGCATTTTCCCTATTCAGCACAGGTTGTGTTTGTTTTATTTGTTTCATCACATTCCATCATCTGGAGACATCAATTTCAAGGATATCAAATTGAAAAAAAAAGATACACATTTATAGTAAACAGAGAGAGATGGACTCTCCACAGTTTTGCAAATCAATCCTAGAAATATTCTAAGTAAACACTTACAGCTCAAGAATTGGCTTTAATATTAGAAACAAATCAAATAGTGTGAATGTGTGTATGAGACATTGCATTCAAATTTAGCTCAAAGTTGAGAAAAATAAATATCTTATTATAAGCACTGCAATTCCAGAAATGTCTGGCACAGCGTTGAACCACATTTTACACACGGCTGAATGAGAAAAGTCCAGTTTAAAAACTGACTGCATGTGCGGAGGAGTTGGGAACGAAGAAGTCATGAAAACAACTCCCTTTGTTAAAATAAAACAAAAGGTCACCAGTTAAGACTGTGTGTTCACACAAACACTTGTGGTGGGTAAGGGCTTTGAAAAAAAAAAAAAAAGCAGAAGATGGGCACTGATGAGGTTGGAATGATATTGAACCTTAGCAGATGATACCATACAGCATGAGCTGATGTTGGTGTAAGAAGCCCAGGCTTTAGGACCGGGGGGGGGAGAGGCTGAGCAGTGCAGACTGGAGGGCAGGCGGGGCATTAGCTCAGTTCAGGCTGATGTCAGGACAATTAGAGGTGCACCACAGCGCATTGTACACAGCGCCTGTCAGCCTTAATCTCTGTTGCCGTGGCCCGTACCCGCAGCCAGGCCACAGCCCACGGGAAGCGCTAACACTCAAGCCCATATTGCTTTGACAGTTGCGCTCATCTAGAAGTAATGCAAAACGTTATTGTGATGTATACATGGTGACCCCGTACTCTTGTCTCTTACAACAACAAGGCTAGGTGTGTGCACAGCCAGGGAGGGCTGGAAGGGAGAAATGACACTCGGGGAGAACAGTGAGGAGAGAAAGATGGAGGGACGTTAACAGAGGGAGAAGAAAAATAGCAGAGAGGATCTGGAACCTTAGCTTCCCTTTCTGCATTCCCCCCCTTTGATCTCTTGCAACCGCCCTCCCTCTCCTCTTGTTCACAGTCATTTTTACCGGTCCTCTACAAATCCTGGTGTTTGTTTTTTAGGGAGCTGCTGCGTGTGGTGACAATGTTGGAGCTCTCCACCGCCTCCTCATCCTCTTTCGCCTCCAGGACCTCGCTGAAGAACCTGAAGATGGAGTTGAAACTCATCCAGGAGGTCAGCTCGTGGCGCTCTGTGCCTACATGTAAAAGAGCCACACATAAACATAAGCATGAGCAGGGTTTACAACACATGTGCTTACCGTAAAGCTGTAGAAAAAAAGAAAAAGTACAGTGGACAGTCTGACATATTCAAAAATGTAGCTGTTAAAAGATTAACAAATAAACAAATACCATTAGAAGAGATTTTTTTGTGTCGTAAGGCTCACCACCACTCTCACAATGTACTGCATTGCTCCATGCGAGTCTAAGGCCTTTTCCATGAGAGCCATGACAGCCTATGACCTATTAGTCCAAGGGGACAGTCTTAATATGTTATCTAAGTGGATACCTGATAATCAACACCAAAGCACGTCCCTCTTTCCATCTCAGGCCTTCCAACAAAACCAGAGTTACGCACAATGGGGGCACTAAGCAAAACCAGTGGAGCGGTAGTCATTCATTCTAAAGGGCTGATTGAGGATAGGCAAGACAGAAGCTGGAGAGACGTAACTAGTGAGCATATCAAGTGGTCTGGCGGTGATGGGGGGAGGCGGAAGGGCTGGGTTTCCCTCTGACCTCCTCCAGGTTAGCCAGTTCCCAAAGTTGGGGTCACACTGAAGCTTGAAATCTGGTACATGCGCCTCGGGTTCCTGCTGGCCTCCGGGGTAAGGGTATCGCTGGCCAGCTTTTTAGTTGGATAGCTTGCAAACTCAATGGCGGTTTCTATGTTTCCCCTACGCCAGCTAGTCCTGCTACAGAACACCTCGGCTCTGCATCGAAGCATCCATGATGAGGACAGATCGTGGCTGCAGCTGTTGCCCTACTTGTCTCCTACTCCTGCTCGCTATCCGTTCAGCGAGAGCGCTAACAGATAATGGCTTGTTTCTGCCGCCGCTGGCTAGCAGCTCAGCTGCTTAGCAACACAACTGTAACTGGACTCGAGAAGCCATATTGAGGTGCCCTCTTGTTTCCCAGAGGGAGAATAGGTTTGCCGCGAGATGATATTAAGAGTTGCATCCCTTGATAGATGGATCTAAGGAAAATTTACATGTGTTTACAGACCGAGGGATGAGTGAATACAAGCCTTGAAGTAATGAGTTTTCTTTTTTGAATCCTTATTTGCACAGTTGTTTTTTTGTTGGGACCTGCATTTGTTTTTAAGATAAGCAAATTTAAATGTGTCTCTACAATTTTCTCGGGAGGATAAAAACAAAAAATGATCAGCTTAGTATCTGAAATCAGTTAGGGTTGTAAGAAAACAACTGGTCCCTGCAGAAAAGAGATGAAGACCACGACCCTTGTGGCCGAGTCAAATCAGTAGTACATTAAAAAATACCACTTTACTTCTGCTCCTCTCTTCAGTGCCTTTCTCCTGTGTACATCCGATCGGCTATAAAAAGCTAGACTAGAAGGCCACAGGGATACAATTAGGAAGCCCCTTAAAGTCTCTCTCACCATAGACAGGCCTCTGATGACCACTGCACTGACCCCATGTTTATTAGATTGACCCCTGCCTGGACGCATTAATGGAGACGGTGTGCGTGCAAGTGTGTGTTTGTGTGTATGATTGTTAGACCGGGGGTAAGTGTGTGGATTTTGGTTCAGTTGTTGCAGGTGGTGTGTGTGTGTTTGTGTAATTTTGTGTGTACGAGTATGTAAGGGGTTCTCGATCACTCTGAGATAAGGGACTGTGCTGCACGCTATATAGCAAGCAGACTGCAGTCAGTGCCTTGGGTTAAATTTACTGGCCTGGCAATCATGGGAGTCAATAACCCTGCACTCTCGGTGACTCTGCTACCTGTGTAGGGCTCAGCATAACACCCAACCCTGGAAAACAAAGACACAGCCCTCTCACACCTCTAATCTATCATTTATATCCAATTTGAGGCACTGTGGTCTTTTTCCACCTCCTCCATTTTCCCTGTTTTATCGGTCTCTCCCTCACTAGTGTTTTTACTTCTGTTTTGTCCTTTTTTTTCTCCCGCAGAAGCGATCAATGCCGCAGCATTCTCTCATTCACCCTGAACTGGTGGTGAACTCCTCCGGAACGCCGCCAGCCTCTCCACCCTATCCCTTCGCAGTCCGGGGTCACCAGGGGGGCGTCTCTGTGCCAATATGCAGATGAGCATGTGCCCCTCCAATGACTCTGGTGTTAAGCTCCACCCCTCTATATGGTGGAGCTCCCCCACCCCACCCAACAACACTCACACACATAGAGGCATAAACCCACTCACACACTGGCTTAAATAAGCCTTTAACAGCTTACGTCCACTCTTCCTTTAATAGCCAAAGTGTGTCGAACTTAATGGATGTTGTCAAAGCTAAGATGTGACGACTGATTTAGAGGAGGAACCCCAATGACCAGGCTTCAATAACCACTAAAGACTGAGAGAGAGAGAATTACCTCAGCTATGCCATAAATCAAAGTAATATCTTTAAAAGATATGGAGATCGATGAAGTGGCATCTGGCTGAATCTTGTGTGTAAAGTGAAGCCATAAACAGCCAATGAGTACTACTTCATCCCCAGTCTTACTCCCATACTGAAAAAGTTTTTCAACTGATACCATTTTTTTTTTTTTACAAGCAACTGATTTCATGTATTGTTAAAACAAGATATAACAGACAAAGAGCGGTTCCATTTTAATCAGTTAAATTACAACTTGTATCTTGCATTAACTGTGAATCAATGAAGTTGCATGTGCTCATTTTAACAAGATCATTGTAATTGCATTCATTTAATAAAGTTTATCGTCAATGCAATTATGTCCTCATTTATTGTAAATGCAATAGTGTTATTGTGCGCTCCATAACATTGGGTATTGTCATGGGAAGTACAGAAAAAAAAAGATTCTCTTTACTTTCACAATGTGTTTGTAATTAGCATTAGGCAATGGCAAGCTTAACAGAGATTATTTCTGCAAGCAGAATGATGATGGCTGTAACCTTGAGGTGAGGCAACACACACACACACACACACACACACACACACACACACACACACACACA